GTTTGGGATCAGTCCCTTCCAGCCACCCTGCTGTGACGGCATCAGGCCTCCCAAGCCTGGAAGAGGCCAGAGCCCTGAGGCCTCCTGACCCAGCTGACCACACGAAGGTCACAGATTGGCTTCAAAGTCATTGCCACGGTGGGCCTTGGTTTGAGCGCTGACTCAAGCCAACCAGGCGTCAAGACAATTTTGAGACAATTAGGAGAATTAATACAGAGCGGGTGACACAAAACAATGACTGGCCTCGCGCAGCAGATGGGCGGGGACTACTGACCGTCAGAGGCACTGCGCACAGTCCTGAGGGAGATGGGACAAGGGCCGCGGCTGGTGTCAGATGTCTGGGCAGAGACGGAACAGGAGGGCAGGACCTTGGCAATGGCTGAGGCTGAGGGGGGCCTGCGGTCACTGTCACAGTGGCCTCCAGTGCTGCCTCCCGGCATGGCCCCGAGTGCAGCTGCCCTCAGCCTGGCCAGAGCCTCCTCTGCAGGCTCCCCCGTCCCTCTGCCCACTGGAAGCGTCAGCTCGGTGGCCTTTGAAACCCCTCAGCCAGGTCTTGTCCCCGATGACCAAAGCCCTGCAGTGAGGACGCCAACCGCGGCCACCTGTGTGGAGCCCGTAGGCCAGGGATGGCGCCAAGTGCTCTGCTCATGGTCACAGGGCAGCATCTGCCCACGCGACAGATGGACCCTGCACAGGGCCGTCTGGTAACGTGACTGTGGGGTGGACCTGGCCTGCTGGGCTGGCTCTGATGGCACCCTTGCTCTGACCACCCCCAGTTCTACTTCTCTCCTAATAAGATCCAGACCTTCACGGGCCCCAACCTGGGCCTGCCTCCCTGCAGCCGGCCCTCCAGCTCCCCTGCCCACCAGGCTCCTGCCCCCGCCTCAGCCTGTCCTGGAAGTGGCCACGCACGTGGTGCCTCAGGGCCTTTGCTCCTGCCAGGCGGGGCCAGGGACGCCCTCCCCACAGACGCCCAAGTGGAGCCTCCTCCTCGCCAGGTCAGGGAAGGCCACCACCTGCAGAGCCCTGCCTCGGCCCCCAGGCCTCCCGCTCACTGTCCCAGTCACTCAGCCCTGCCTCGGCCACACCATTCCCACGCGTCCCACCAGCAGGGACAGGCTGTGCGGTGGGACCCTGGCCTCTGCTCACCATCACCTGGTCCCCTGCCCCACGTGGCTACTTATGAAATGAAAGTTGACTAGGATCTACAGGCCGTTCTCCAGTCACACTGACCGCAGTTCGAGTTTGCGGTAGCATTTGTGCCCAGCGGCCACCGTGCTTGGAAGACATGGCACATTCCTGTCACTGCAGAAAGCCCTGGTGGGCAGTGGCCTGGACCACAGCAGGGCCCAGAAACACACCAGCGGGAAAGGCCATGCTCGTTCGTTCGTAAGCTGCAGCGCACGCACCGTCCTGAGCACAAGGTATGTCCTCAGTGCAAGTCCTGCTTGCGTGCCACTGTCACCCCACTTCCTGTGACGATCAGGCTGGAGCTGGCATTTGTGTGGCAGGCTGTGGGTGCAGATGGTGATGGTGCCTGTCTGTGGCGAGGGTGGTGCCTTTGAGCAGGGGACCATGAGGCTGTTATAGAGGTAGACTGGGGATGGGGAGCTGGTGGAAGCAAATTTTGGGGTGGTGTATCCGTCTGTTTTCTGTTACTGTAACAAAATACCTGAGGTTGGATAACTTTATAAGGAAGAGAGGTCTATTCAGCTCACAGGTCTGGAGGTCAAGAGCAAGGCAGTGTCATAAGGTACCACAGCAGGAGTGTGTGTGACAGTGAGAGATCACATCGCAGGAACAAAAAGCCAGAGGCCAGGGCGAGGCCTGGCTTGTTCTCTAACCACCTTCATAAGAGTTCAAACTCTTCAGTCCCTTCAGGGCTCAGTGTCCCCCGCATCCCCTAGGCCCTCCCGCTAGGCCCCGCCTCTGCAGGGCACCCCCACAATGCTCTTCACTGCACCCAGCCCAGGGACGGGGGGGTG